GTTGCTTTTGGTAAAGCTGCATCAAGGCATACATCTCACAGCACCTGGGAAACGCAATGTCATCTTGGCTTTGCTTTGAGGGGCATGATAAATAATTTAAGCAGAAGGAGGCAGCAGCCTGGCCTTCCATTACAATTCAGAGTTTGAAATAAAGCAATATTCCAGATAAGCGTATGATAGGGAATACACCATGAGGCATTTAGGTTATGGTCTCTGTCTGAAGATGGGGAGGGGCTGTGGCTCAGTGGAAGGGCCAAGCAGAAGGTCCCAGGTTCAGTCCCCAGCACCTCCAGTTAAAAGGACGAAACGGTAGGTGATGCAAAAGACCTCTCCCTAAGACCCTGGAGAGCAGCTGCCAGTCAGAGTTGACAATACTGAACGGTTATGGACCAAGGGGTCTGATTCAGTAGAAGGCAGTTTCATGTGTTTAAGTAATGAGGCACCCAAAAAAGCCTAGGGATACAAGTGAGGAGGACCTTAAGAGCCTCTTGCTCAGGGTAAAAGAGGAGAGCGCAAAAGTGGGCTTGAAGCTCAACATCAAAAAACCTAAGATCATGGCATCCAGCCCCATCACTCCTTGGCAAATAGAAGGGGAAGTTGTGGAAGTAGTGACAGACTTCACGTTTCTGGGATCCCAGATCACCGCAGACTGTGACAGCAGCCATGAAATTAAAAGACGCCTGCTCCTTGGGAGGAAAGCAATGGCGCACCTAAACAGCATGATACTTGTCTGTTATTCCGGTTACCTTTTGACTTCCTACTTTAGCATTCCAGTCCCCTATGATGATGAGGACATCATTTTTTGGTGTTAGTTCTAGGAGGTGTTGTAGGTCTTCATAGAACCGGTCCACTTCAGCCTCTTCTGCATCAGTGGTTGGGGCATAGACTTGGATTACTGTGATGTTGAATGGTTTGCCTTGGAATCGGACCGAAATCATTCTGTCATTTTTGATATTGTATCCCAGTACTGCCTTTTGCACTCTCTTGTTGACTATAAAGGCCACCATCAGACACATCCACAACTAAGTGTCGTTTCGGCTTTGGCCCAGCCGCTTCACTCTTTCTGGGGTTACTTGTACTTGCCCTCTGCTCTTCCCCAGTAGCATATTGGACACCTTCCAACCTGAGAGGCTCATCTTCCGGCGTCATATCTTTTAGCCTTTTGATACTGTCCATGGGGTTTTCTTGGCAAAGATACTGGAGTGGGTTGCCATTTCCTTCTCCAGTGGATCACACTTGGTCTGAGTTCTCTGCTGTGGCCTGTCCGTCCTGGGTGGCCCTCCACGGCATAGCCCACAGCCTCATCGAACCACATAAGCCCCCTTGCCACGACAAGGCAGTGATCCATGAGGGAGTCCTATCTATACCTTGTGGCTAATAGCCACCGATAGACCTCTGTTCCATATGCTTATCCAATTCCCTCTTGAAGCCGTCCATGCTTGTAGCCGCCACCCCCTCCTGTGGCAGTGAATTCCATGTGTTAATCACTCTTTGGGTGAAGAAGGACTTCCTTTTATCTGTTCTAACCCGACCGTTCAGCAATTTCATGGAGTGCCCACGAGTTCTTGTATGGTGAGAAAGGGAGAAAAGGACTTCTTTCTCTACGTGCTCTGTCCCATGCATAATATTATAAACCTCAATCATGTCACCCTTCAGCCATAGTTTCTCCAAGCTAAAGAGCCACAAGTGCTTTAATGTTTCTTGGTTCCAGCATTGTTCAGGACAGGAGAGAATGAGGTTCAAATGGGAGACTCTGACCAAGATTTGAGGATAAAGATACTGAATTCAGCAAAAGCACAGACCAAAGCTTCCAGAGACAGTTAGCTAGATGTTCAGGAGCCTCAATCTGTCTTCTAATTAGATTCAGGGTGGGTAGCCGAGTTGGGCTGATGAAACAGAACAAAGTTGAGTCCAGTGGCACCTTTAAGACCAACAGCGTTTTATTCTGGGTATCAGCTTTTGTGTACTTGTGCACACAAAAGCTTATACCCAGAATAAAACTCTGTTGGTCTTAAAGGTGCCACTAGACTCAGATTTTGTCCTCTTCTCATTAGTTATCTTATAACTTGGTTGTCTTCCTGTTTGTCGCCTGAGCAATGCGATTCTCTGCGGAGAACAGCTTGAGGAAAGACTTGCATTTAACACATTGTTTTCCTATACAATCAATCACAGGTGGACAGCAGCTGAAACAGGTTTTGCTGTTCTTCGTCACCTCTCCGCTCACCAGGAAGCTGGCGGCCAGCCATTCCCAGGCCTGTGCCATTAACAAAGGAAGTCCGAAGATTAAACACAGGGTGAATGGCCAGTCTTTCCCCAAGAGGGCAGAAGCACAGTGGAACCAGCTGATGACAGCTTACGTATACGCCTCCAGAATACCAGTGCCTGGAGGCTGCATCAGGGGAAGACCTTGGACTCTAAGCCCTTGTCTATCGGCCCTGTAAGGTGGCTGGGCTGACAATGATAACATAGATAAAACCATCTAAAAACAAGCCAATGTCACAAAGTGGTAGCTAGATGTAACAGCGTTCCGTGAGCCTCGGCGTCTAGTCATGCCGGCCACGTGACCACGGAAATGTCTTTGGACAGCGCTGGCTCTTCGGCTTAGAAACAGAGATGAGCATTGCAACCCTAGAGTCGGATTCGACTGGCTTTCGAGCAAGGGAAACCTTTACCTAGATGTAAAATAAATAACTTAGGGATGGCGGCAACGTTCATGTTAACATTTTCTATGGTCTGCCGTCTTTCCTGAGGCCTGCACAGCGCTTTTCAGAAACTGAGCACACAGCTAGGTGGGCCTTGTTCCCAGCAGGGCTTCTTATGGGCTGCGCAACTGAAAAGGCACCCTGCCAAGCCTTCAGTTTTACCATTTCCTTGGGAGTTAAGTTCCAGGGGTCTGCTCCCAAATGCATTCCTTCAGAATTGTTTTTTGTTGTTGTTCAGTCGCACAGTCGAGTCCGACTCTTCGTGACCCCATGGACCAGATCACGCCAGGCCCTCCTGTCTTCCGCCGTCCTCTGAAGTTGGCTCAATTTCATGTTCGTTGCATCTATGACACTGTCTAACCATCTCATCCTTTGTCGTCCCCGTCTGTCACTACTTCCACGACTTCCCCTTCTATTTGCCAAGGAGTGATGGGACCGGATGCCATGATCTTAGTTTTTTTTTTGATGTTGAGCTTCAAGCCCACTTTTGCGCTCTCCTCTTTTACCCTGAGCTCTTTAGGTCCTCTTCACTTTCTGCCATTAGAGTGGTATCGTCTGCATTTCTGAGGTTGTTGATCTTTTCCCCAGCAATCTTAATTCCCGCTTGTGATTCATCCAGGCCAGCATTTCGCATGATGTACTCTGCATATATATTAAATAAGCAAGGTGACAATAGACATCCTTGTCGTACTCCTCTAAAGCAAAAAAAAAATAAAAAAATTAAAAAAAATCCTTGTCGTACTCCTTTTCCCATGCTGAACCAATCAGTTGTTCCATATCTGGTTCTAACTGTCGCTTCTTGGCCCTTATACAGGTTTCTCAAGAGACACGTGAGGTGGTCTGGTACTCCCATCTCTTTAAGGACCTGCCATAGTTTGTTGTGATCCACACAGTCAAAGGCTTTAGCATAGTCAATGAAGCAGAAGTAGATGTTTTTCTGGTACTCTCTTGCTTTCTCCATAATCCAGCGAATGTTCAGAATTGTTGGGCTTATGCAAATGAGTCTGATCCATTAACTGACTAGGAGATCTTTAATCAGGTTAACAGTGCTAATTAAAAAGCCTTCTGATTATTTTGACCTGAACTAGACTGCAATTATGCAAGTCAAACGCAACAATGGGAACATGTCAGCTGGAGGGGGAA